CAATATCAATTTGGTGTAGGATGTGTTCTCTTAAGAAAGTATGTGTTCAATCTGACCTTTGAAAAATATGCGGTGCCTCTATTTATAAGTTGGACAGTTTAGGTAGTATAGGCCAAGTAAAAGTCTCAGAAAGCAAAAATTAGTTTGGCTAGAAAATAATGTCGCTCGGGCGAGGAGATTTTTCGCTCGAGCCAAAGGACCGTCGCTCGAGCTATGGTGGGCCGAAGGTCGAACGATGGTGTTGTTGCATCATCCGCTCGAGCACAACTCTGGCGAGCAGCTAGCAAAAAATCTGCGTGAATCCTTCCTGTTCCAAACATGAAACCCCGAATCCTATGCTAACCTACCAACTATGAAACTTTACAATTGAGTCTCTGAACTTTTGTAATTGTTCAAGTTGATCATTTTATTCACAGAATCGTCAATACAATATTTTAAACCTAACAAACTCTCCCTTTGACATTATGTGATAAAACCAAATACAATACAAAAAATATACTATGAAAACTACCCAAGTCCAACTGAGTGTAGCTTCCACTTTGTCAAACCTGTATCTTGAAATCAAAGACTAACATACCCAGTGTAAAAGCACATGATACAGAAAATAAATAATAAATTACTTAGAAGCATAATCAAATAAATAAGCAAGCTAGTTTGAGATACAATATTCATGCTAACCAAAAGACCATGACCATATTAATATCACAAAACATCAAAACTCAAACAGCTATGTATGAAATGCAACTCAAATGCAATGTGCATGCTCCCCTTCAGAGCATGATATGCAATGCCAATGTAATGCACAAGCCCCTCTTACTGCAAACTCTCAAAGTGTTAGAGCAGTGGGTAAATGTATCTATGTCTCTTCCCCTTTTTGTCACAAATATCGAAGAGTATCAAATATAATGGGAAATAAAACATACATCATAAGTAATAATGCAGATAACGGCAAAGACAATTCCAACGACTAGAGAAAGGCTACAATAATTTGAGAAGACATCAAAAGCCTACCTGAACTCTAGCTAAACAAAAAAAAATAATAATTCTACTACTACATCACTATCCCTGAGCTACAGTGCTGGAGCATCGTCTCCAGCAGAGGCATCAAAATCGTTACTCTCATACTCCCAGTGCTCGCGCATCCAACGTAAACGTCGCTGAACATCTACAACATGGCCACGCAGAGCAGTGACCTTCACTCTCATCTGAGTCACCTAGACCATCAGCCGAGCCTGCGGCTGATCATCGCTGACATCTAGCCATCAAAGTGGCAATGGGATCAATCGAAGCAGATGCATGAGGGACATGAACTGATGCAGCAGATGGAATATCAGAAGTGGATGTAGGCTCAGTAGTAGGAACAGTGAAAGGACCACTAGAGAGAAGATCAGCTATAGGATCAGCAGGCTCAGTGATATGGTGGTATGACCTATAGGTCTACCAATCCTACATGAAGCTCCATCGGGAAAAGTACCCCGAGAGCGGTGACCAAATGGTGAATAAGGTAAGCATAAGGAAGACTTATCCTACGACCAGGAACACGAAACGTGGGCAGAATATGCTGGCACAGAAAAGTAGGAAGGTCAATAGAGTCACCGTGAACCTAGGCGAATAGAAATCTAGCCCTATTAGAAGGTAAAGAAGAAGTATGATTGACCGACCATAGATTTGTGCACACAATGCGCAACAATACCTGTTGGTCAGTCAGAAGCGATCCCATGCGAACAGTCGTGGAACCCCCTCCCAATGGAGTGTTAAATAGGGTAGAATAAACCACGGTATCGAACGGGATGGACTCAGCCGAAATATATGGATAGATCGGGCGGACAGTTCGTGGGATATGAAGAGTCTCGGCCAAGACATCAGGGTTAATCCTAAAGGTACGACCTCTAAGATATACCCAAAATGCAGAATCACTACTAACCTCATGAATGTTCGCATAGAACTCACGAATAAGAAGATCAAATAGAGGAGTCAAACCTGTAAGAATGGGATCCCAACACCGAGAAATGAAGATAGCTGAGATATCGGGGCGTAAATCAGATAGAATAATCTCACGATGCACTATGACGGGACGAAGGGAAAATTGAGAAGTGAAAATCTCATGAGCAGTAGAAGATACGAAACGGGGCTTCACTGTAAGAAGTGGAGCTACTGAACAGTGGTCCTTGCTTTCTTTGGCGGCATCTGGGACATCATTGCAGAACAAACATGTCAAGAGANGAGCAGATGTGTATGAGGTGGAGCCACTAGGCGGCTGAGCAGCGGTCCTTGCTCTCTTTGGTCCATCTAGGATATTATTACTAAACAAACATGTCAAGAGATGCTACGAAAGAGAATATAGACCATAAAGAGCATCAATGTAATGAAAGGCATGAGAGTGCATAAAACAATGCATAAGATAAACAAGCACACAAAGCGATGCAAAAGTGTCAAATATGCTATGAATGGATACCAATCACGTGCAGTGCATGGACGTAGTGCAATGACTGCAAGACTGAAGTGTAGTGATGTCAAGACCTAGTCCTTATATGTATGTCATATCACTCAACAATCTACAATTAAAGTGAAGTCCCTAACCAATCACTAATGTATAGACATGATCATGACAACGAACAAAACCCGTGTGTGCAAAAGTGTGGCAAAGAAGTGCACATGTGAGTGTATGAGACATTTTATCAAACACATCGTGTGCAACTAAAGAACTTGACATTTAAAGCAAAATTCAACACATCCAAATCCAACCCATCATCCTAGTACCACAAACAGTTCATCCAGTATCTAATCGTATCCCGTTCTCCTTCAAAACGACCAAAATAAGCATCAAAGGCAAGAAATAACTCAAGAGCCCTAGTACTCACATGAAAACTTCAAATTCGAACTAAAATGTGTGATTAATGATGCAAACGCATTCATAACACAATGTGGTAGCCACAACATATAAATACAAGTGAGAAATTGAGTTAAAGAGCAAGCAAATGTCGAAATCCCAAAAATTAAGTAAAAGGCGAAATTTAGGGTTTGAATGATTTACCTTCAAAATTCATCGAATTGGATGAAGAAATTGATGTAAATGAAGTCCAACTTGAACCCCCACACGACTAGATGGAAGAAAATACACGAATTTGGTGAAAGGGCATCGAGAATTGGCAGAAAAATTAGAGAAAAGTACGCAAAAATGAAGGTTCATTAGCGTTTTAAAAACAGGTGTCGCTCGAGCGATATTGGAGCGAAGCTCGAGTGAAATCAATCTGTAAGTGTCGCTCAAGTGAAATTAAAGCGAATATCGAGCGAGGTTTCAAATGTCAGAAATAGCACTAAAAATTCAGAAAAATAGCATCCTTTTTTTTTAAAATAATACGAAAATCAATCAAACCATGCTCTCGACACTTCGATAATTCAAATCAAGTATGCAATCACAAGTCAAGCATTATCAAAAAGACTTTCCCACGTACGGAGTTAAGTTCAAGATGGATTAAGGTGTATAAATGGCTCATGTGTGTAATGTGCCACTACTTTCTCGTAAAACTGACTTCAAACCTTAAATTTGTGAGAAAGAATAAGCAAACATCACTTGTTAAATAAGTATGATCCCTACAAATGAAAATCAAACCCGAATAAATTTTAGGACCTAAAAATGAGCTCAATTAAATGATAAATTTTCTTTTCTCCCCCTGAGTATGAGCATAAATTTATTTTTTCTTGTAAATAATATCTTATGTGCAGACCATGTCTATTAAGCGACAAAATTGACTCATGTAACAAGCTTTAAGCTCGTTAACCCAAATCAAATGACCATGAGCACCAGGTTATGAGAAACCCATGGGACTTAATTACTCGAGTCAAATAGGCTTCGAACAGAGTATAAGATGAACCAAATAAGCACTCATATTTTTTATTTTTCATCAAATTTAATTTAAATTAATATTCTTTATCATAAATGCATCAATGTAGGGAGACTATCACGAGCTAAGATCATCTAAATATATGTCAATTCATGTTCGAGGTCACCCTACTAACACGTGAGTGCCATTCCAAGTCTCACACATGCAGTTAAGACTCATTCACAAGATCATAGTATATACAGTGCAGAATATTACAAGACGACACATATACTCAATACTCCACATTAAACAAAACCAAGCGATGAAAATAACAGTATAAAACATATAATTACTTACTTGGTCATACATAACAAGTTTTAAAATCATAACGACGTGTCGTTTGCCAAAAGGAAAATATTTTTATATTTTTCCCATTTTTCAATTTTTTTTTTGAAAATAATATATGAAGTAAATAAATGCACAAAGATAAAAATAAAATCAACATAAAATAAATGGGATGCATGGACAAATGAATTGACTCAATGGACTGCATATGTATGCCTCTAAGGACCAAATCACGAAGAACCATGAATGCCCTTACCTTTAATAGCATGACCAAACTCACGACCTTGCAGATCACATTTCTTAACCCAAGCTTGCTTAGAAGTAGAAGTAATTTTAGTTAACCGAGTTATCATCTCAGTTAAGTGGCTAACCTGATTTGTGAGGAAGTTAACTGTGCTCGAAACATCCTGACTTTTACTCCTAGTCACGAGTTTACGACCCACCACAATGGTGACATGTGGGAATAAATCTAGAATCAACCATGTTCGATGGTTGTTGCCTATAAGTAGNTCCTGACTTTTACTCCTAGTCACGAGTTTACGAGACTTAGGTCTTGTATGTCCCAATGCACCACAATGGTGACATCTGAGATTAAATTTAGACTCAACCCTATTCAGTGGTTGTTGCTGATGAGTAGGACGATTTACCCTATGTTGTCTAGTAGGTCTCGATCCTACGTCATGCTTACCCTTTAGTTC